GCTTTAGAGGCTTCCTTCGGACTTACGACCAGCCCTCGGGATTCGGATTTGTTCTCTCCTCGTGTGTGGCTTCAGGGACCTCTCCTGTTAGGCATCATTTTTTTTGACATTCCCCACTCCGTTCACGTTCGAGGGGGCTTCTCGCCCCCCACTTCTCACGATGATGACAACTCAGTGGTGGTAGTATTGGTTATGAGTACGATGGATGGATGGATGGATGGATGGATGAATGGATGGATGGATGAATGGATGAATGCATGAATGAATGGACGAATGGATGGATTGGATTGAGCCAGGGAGGCAGGGAGGGAGAGAGTATGGAATGGGACGGGGATCGGCATGAGAAGATGAAGAGTATCATGATGCTATGATGCTGAAGCCGGTGATGCTGCCGATGCTGGTGATGAACACAAAGATGATGCTGATGATAATTTGGCTGACGGTGATCACGACGATGACGTGCAGGTTGCATCACAAATGGCTAGAAGTTCACACCTTCTGTGACATCCACTCGTATCACCTACATGTCAGTTCTGGCACCACGCAGTGCTCCCGCAACAGCCAGCCTGGGCGATCGAGATCCACGTGTAGCACGTGTACACCTGACACAAGGTACTCCTTCAAAAACCAGCCCTCAGGGCCCTGAACCCCGAGAGACAGAGAGAGAGAGAGAGAGAGAGAGAGAGAGAGAGAGAGGGGCCATGCTGCAGAGCTGCCTGCGAAGTCGCATTGGCCGGGGTTGGAGTGAAAGTGGATGCCGAGCTCTGTGCCTCCGGGTCTCAACTGGCTTATGGTATCAGTGTATATAGTATAGTATAGTATGGTATAGTATAGTATAGTATATAATCTAATAGTGTATTATGGGGTTTCGAAAGGCTGGCTCTTCGTCTTTACAAGCCGAGGCCTCTCGAGTAGAAAGCCACCGGCCACCCAAACCCCGACAGCCCGTATCCAAAGGATCTTACATCGAGGCCAGCGATGCCAAAGTGATCAACACTGCGGCGGGCGGCCTGTGCATTGAGTGTCTGGTACCTGCGCGACGGGAACGACCCCTGGTCGACGACAACATCTCTAGTTTATGTGTAACAATTCTAGGTAACATCCCTAAAGTCCTAAAGCTGAACCGACAGCTGAAGGCTTCTGACCCAGCGCACTGGGTCAGAAGAGGGGCGAAGTCGAAGGAGAGGACCGAGCTGAGGTCGGTAGCCATCTCCGAGAGCCCCTGGATGGGCACAGAGAGCCTCAGTCAGAGGGTCTCTGAGCCACTAGGGCGCCGAATGGCAGTGGGAACCAAGCCATAGGGCCTTGTGGCCTTATATAGGGTTTAGGTTTATAGGGCTTATAGGGTTTATAGGGTTTATAGGGTTTGTAGAGTTTAGGGTTTATGGGTTGGGACGGAATAGGCAGAGGTGTCATTCAGGAACTGGGCCCCAAGCCCCAGCATGGGAAAGAGATCCCGCGATGGCACATCAGCCGCAGGACCCAGACAAGCCTATGGCACAGACAGGGGACATGCTCAGTAAAGCGCTTGCAGCCCTGTGCGAAAGGCCGAGTGGAAGGCAAGTGATGCACTCCTTGCCGCAACAACCTGCCCGATGAAGCGCACAAGACGGGAAGCTGCTGCTATCTCCTGCTAAAACACACAAGAGAGCGAGTTTCACTATCCCCTACGTGGAGGAATCACCATGGGCTCTTTCTTGACCCATGCGGGCCTGCGTGCTGTCGCCCGACAAGCCAAGCAGGATGCCGTACCTCGGAAGCAGGCTCACCCTCAAAGGCCTCACAGGCATCACATGACGGGAGCACCGGTCGAGGCCATCTGAAGCACTCAGTGTGTCCATCATGATGCAGAACCTGCAAGGGCCGTATGAGGGTGTCGAGCTTCCGGGGCTACGCATCCTTCATGTCTGTGAGGGAATCGCTGTGTGTGCGAACGTTGTGTACCTGTAAATGTTACCGGCTCACAAGACCAGGGATCTTTGCAGTGCAGGCTGTCGGCGATCTTGGCTTTCACCGTTTTCGTCTTCGGGCCAACTTCAGGATTCAGGCAAAAGAAATCCATGGCGCTAGCTGTCACAACCTTCCGAATGCCGAAACTCGAAAGCCAGAAAGCCACAAGTGACCTGCTTTCAAATCAGCTGTGGGACTGAAGCCTAACCTCAACTCCATGAAGCCCGAAAGCCCATGGCCGCACACGTAGACAGCCAACTGCCTTGCAAAAGCCCCGAACACCTGCAGCTCAATCCCTTGCCACCCCAAACTCCTGAACCCCAAATTCCCGACATCCGTGAACCCTTGAGGTCCAAATCCTAATCCTCCCCCCCCTTCCCCCTGCTTCCCCAAAGTTCCCCCGACCCCTCCCGCCCCCAACCCTAAACCCTAAACCCTAAACTAGGCCCAAAACCCTTCCCCCAATGAACCAAACTCCTCGAGGACCCAGCTCACTCCCCACCGCGGCGGAGGCCTTGGGCTTGCGCCAAGCAGAGCATAATACCAGTATGTGTGCATATCTACACACACACACATATGGATTGATTGACGGATAGATAGATAGATTGCTAGATAGATAGATAGATAGATAGATAGACAGATAGATAGATTGATTGATTGATTGATGGATAGATAGATAGATGGATAGATAGATAGATATGTATATATGTATATTACATAGATGTAGATGTTTCTGTTGTATGTATGCAAGGTATCTATATCATATTCATATAACATATGAACATATAAGTATGTGACATTCTTCACATCCTATATCTGCCACAGCAAGTGGCATTCGAGGTCGGAGAGCTTCCATAGTCTGGCCCCTTTCGGCTTCAAATCAAACGCATCTACCGATCCAAAAGGAGGAACTACAGCGGATCCCACATCAAACTCCAAACTCCAAAACTTCAGGAAGACAGCCGCAATCCTAATCCCGCCGCATACAAAACCCGTCTAATACGCAAGGACCCCGCCTTACAAAGCCCCATAACATTGGCATAACACATCATGCGAATAGGGAATCCGGATGGAAGCATTACCTACACCCTGAACCCCACAATTTAAACCGACAAAAGCATGCTCAATTTACTTTCGGGCCGAGGACGAAGGTGACGATGCCCAGCACCGCGGCGAGGAGGGCACCCAAGCAGCCACCACACCTCGGTGCCATTTCGAGCCAGTCGGATTTAGCTGCGAGCTTGTAGGATCTATGCATTTGTAAAGGCTGCTAAGGTTGCATGAAATGTCAGAATGGTCTTGTAAAGCTTCTATATTATGAGGCCGATTATGTAACAGAAATATCAGGTTTCGGATCTTCACTCATGAAGGTCACCGAAAATCAGGAATCGTATATGTCGTACAAGTATCGATATCAGTAAGTCTGTGTGCATGTCGAGTCATGTATCTATGTATTTGTTGTTGTCGGTGTCCTGTTCCGATTGCGCGATCTTTCTGCACGCGGGCGCAGGAAGCACTCGCACGAAACTTGATGCAGGTTTCGTTTGAACCGTGGCTGCAAGTAGCAGGCCCAACCAGCTGTTGAGAAACGGGCACAGATTCCTACTTCCATCACAGCCACCAGCAGCGGAACTGCACAACAGCAGCATCATGATACGCTGACTGATCACATTGGTCAACCCAGTCTTCCATTGCTGTGCCGGCCCTGGGCCTGCAAACCATGCCACAAGCCACGCACTCGGCTGGTATGCTTTCCAAGTGCTTGTGCCATACTATACTATACTATACTATACTATAGTATACTATACTATACCAAACTGGCGACATGAAAAGACTACACAACCCCGCCAAAACCCGTTTCATTGTTAGCGAAAGGCGCCAGCACTGCGGCGGTCTGTCTGTGTTGCTGAGCCTGCGGCCAACCACAGGCTGCCCACTGAGGAGCCGGATGGTCCTGGCATATTGGCTTTAGGGCTCTAGATTTGGGGGTTTCCGAACATAGGGGACCCTAATATAGTACCCTGAATAGTAGGCTCCTTATTACAAGGACCCTAAAATAAGGTACCCTAATTTTCGGAAAGTCCCATTTGCTTGTGTTTTGAAGTTGCAAGCGCCGAGCCTTGCGGTCAATCTTGCATCTCCGGAGGCAGCAGCACCAGTGCAGGCTGTAGAAAAGGAAGACCAGGCCAATCTCGCAAAGAAGCATCCGAGTCCCACGCACAAGCTGGTCGACAGGCTGTCTGCTCGCTTTTTGTGCAAAGGCCCTAAACACACTAAAGCCCGAAGCTTTGAAACCCCACACCCTAACAAATCGCAAGTTAAGCCATGCGCATCTTTTCTCCGCGCTCACAGGCGCCCAAATGGCGTCGGAGTCCGTGAGACCGGGTCTCCGCAGCCGTCTGAAGGTGACGGAAGTGCGGCTGCCCAGAGGAAGCTCCTGGCCCTGGTACCTGGTATGCAATGGTTTAGGACGTTTAGGGTTTAGGGGTTTAGGGTTTAGGGTTTAGGGTTTTGGGGTTTTGGGTTTAGGGGTTTAGGTGGCTTCAAAGGTGTAGGCTCTCAGGAATGTAGGGCTCTGCGGCTTTAGGCTTGGGCTTGGGCGCTACAAGCACAGCATCTTCGCACTGGCTGATTTTGCAGTGCTGCGAGCTTCAGACGACGGATGGTCCTCGTGTAGAACCCCCAACGGCCCTAACAGTCGGGGTCATCTTTGCAGATACTACAATTGCTACCAAAATAGGGCACCCTAGATTTCTGAATCCCCCGCTTTGTGGTATGGCCTGCAGTTGGGTCGAATGCCATGCTTCCACTTCCACCGTACTTTGCCGGAGAAGACGTACACGGAACCCTCCTGGCACAGAGTTGGTTGAGGGCTCCTCTTACGGTCCCAATCTGATTTTCCTGGAATCATATACTGCACTATTCCACCCAAAACCTGCCACAAAACCCTCTAAACCCTAAACCCTAAACTCTAAACCCCTAAACCTTAACACCTTAAACCCCAAACCCTAAACCCTAAACCCTGATGAAACTATGAAGGGGTTCAGCTCCTCGAGCAGCACATGCTGACCGCAGCTTCGTTCAGCGCGCTCTGCCTCGCATCCTTCTTCCTCCTCTGCCTTTCAACAGACATCCGCTCCGTTGGAACAGTTTCCCAACTCTTTGGGCTCCTCTGTGGCACCCTTCGTTTCAACATGTACCATAACCTACGTTTTTGGTAGGTTCTTATTATGTTTAGGTAGGTTCAGGTATTTCTACATGTTTACCATTCCTACATTCTACATCAGCGCGTGTGTTCAGCTCACAGCTGACGCCCTGCCCAACCTTTCAAACTCAATGCAAGTCTTAAACCCGAAGCCCCAAACAAATGCCAAAACCCAAAACCCGAAATATTCAACTCTTTAGCCCGAAATCCTAGTTCAACACTAACCCAAGGGACCTAAGCACGGCAATACTCGGGAGTTTCACGGCCCCAGACCAAGCACCAAACTCCGGGCGAGGTTTAGGGCTTGTGTGGTTTGTTCAGGGGTTTAAGCAGTTTAGGGTTTACTTCTTGTTTAGAGTCTTCGGTCGTTTTCAGGCATGGAAACGGTTAGGCTTCTTGTGGGTTTAGGCCTACTTTTGTTTTTCAGGGAGGTCATGGGTTAAGGGATCAAGAGATTTACTTGGACCTGGTGCTTCGCTGGAAAGCTTTCCCTCAAGTCCAACGGCTCGAGGTCCATGACCTGGGTCGAAAGAGAGGGGGATGTTGCTTGCCGAGGGCTTGGGAGGCAGGTTTCTTGGGCGGTGTTCTTCGGATGCGTTCGCATGATTTGGGGTGTTTCGGCCCTCTTGTTTTGGACATGACAGGTTATCTGGCTGACCTTGCAGAAGTAGGCAACTGAGCCCTGTGCAACTGGAGCACCCAGACTGAAGCCAACGATGTAGTCCTCACGAGAGTCCCGACGCTTCGATTCTTTCTGCTGCTCTGAGCCAGATGACCGGTCGACAGTACACCGTACACCCATTGTACGCCAAGCAGCATCGAAGTTAGCTCTGTCCACGTGCATCGGTATACCATCGCCTGAGTCTGCGTAGTCGGGGTAGTCATGCTGAAGTGGGGAGCAGGTGCAAGACTTGCTTTCGAAGCTACTGGGTGGAGGGCAGTTTAGGGATCATGTAAAGTAACCCTCAACCTTACGTAGAACGCATGCTGGTATCCGTGTCGATGGCTCGCCTTCTGAGTAGAAGTTGACGATCGCCTGGTCGAACCAATAGCCGGGTGGAAGTATCCCTGGCAAAAGGATGCAGCACCAGCACCACAACGTCGAGCAAACTCAAGCATTCTTACTTGGGCATGCCCCTTTTTCTTAGGAATGCCTTCAACATGTGATGGACAAATGCTCGTCAGAAGTACTCGTCGTTTTATTCTTGGTTGCAATAAGTTCATCATGACAGGCATGAAACCTTTAAGCTTTCAATTTAGGGCGGGCACTGAACTGCCCCGGGCGGACTTTCGGACCCATCCTCGCCTCTCTCTCGAAGCTCTAGCAGCATCGGCCCACATGCATCGAGGATGGTGATCTCACTTTCATGCCTGATTCATGCGAGTTTGGGCTGCTAATCTTCACAAAGCAGGTGAAACCCGGCCAAGACGCTCTCCGAACAAGACGGAACAAGAACAGCGACGGGTGGTCTTGACATCGGATCTTCAAAGCATCACAAGCAACTCGCAATACTTGCCTCAGAGTCAGGGAGCCGGGGACGCTCCCCCAAAAAAATGGATTCGGGGCTCTCTGTGTGTAGGGTTTTCCGGCGTCTCTTCTCTACGGATCTTTTCAGGATGGATTCCGAACTTCATCCCCGGGCCGGGACAAGGGTGAAGTGCCCCAAAACCAGTAAACCCGGAAAAGAGAGAGGATCTGCGGCCATGCTGCCGGCTGTGCGGCCGTGGGAAGCCGTGCCAATGAACCTTGAAGATTCGTTTCATTAGGCTCAAACACGTAAGGGCTCTTGGCTGAAGGCATAAATTAGGCATTTTAGGGCTTTGGGCTACAGGTGCTTGTGCTCCATGCAGCATGAAGGATTAGACCGAAGAAGGTTTCAAGCGAAATTGATATCTTCGGGGTCTGGACAACACACCAAAACAAGCCCCAACAAGAAAGAAGCTTCTAAACCCTCTAAACCCAAGAAAAAGCTTCAAAAGAGTTCCAAAAAGCCCCGGGTGTCGCCGCCAGTGGCCTCCCGGTTGAGATCGTCTCATCGCCGCTGGGCCCACTCTCCACTGCCGCACGCAGGGCTTGGACCTAGAGGCAACATGCAAGTACTATAGCTGTGTTGCAAATGGAAAAACAAGGGCACTGCTTGCACTTTTCGAGAAAATCCGAGAATGCAGGACCAGCATTTCAGAAGCCAGGCCTGCACCTCGTTCAGGAAGCCGGGCGAATAGAAGAAGCCGTCCTCGGGCTGGGGGACGCCCTACGGCTTCTGCCACCAGCCACCAGGTCGACTAGGGATCCCTTCCATGCACAGTAGGGACCCCTCGTCCTATTTTGTGAAACTCCCGTGTCAGGCCGTCAGTTGCCTAACCAAACCCTCAGTAAACCCCTCTCATAGCCCAGAACAACACCACCACCAAGAAGCTTCGAGCTCTAAACCTCAAGCTCTAGATTTCAAAGCTCCAAAAGGCCAAAGCCAC